CGGCCTCGCCTTCTGCTACGTGTGCACCTTCCCCACATTACACAAATCCTTACCGTAATGTTGTGAAACACGCTGGGCACAGGTTTCTCTCCCTGTTTCACAGATGGGTCTAGAGACTTACATGACATGACCCGGCCAAGGTCACACTGCAAGCCCTGGCGTGGCCTAGAACAGGCTTTCTCAGCCTCAGCACCATTGACATCCGGGTCAGGGCACATCCTGTTGCCCAGGGCAGTGTCGGATGTTTAGCGGCATCTCTGCTATCTGACCGCTGGATGCCAATCACATCAACCCCAGCCATGACACCAACAATGTCCCCAGATGTTGTCAAACATCTCCTGGTGGCTGAACCAGCCCCACTGAGAAATACCGCCTTAGAACGCTGTGGGTTCAGCATGCCGCCTTTCTCTTTACATTGAAAACACAACTCCTGGCGCGGTGGCTCAGCCTGGAATCCCAGCACTTTAGGAGACTGAGGCGAGCAGATCACTTGAGGCCCGGAGTGGGAGACCAGCCTGGCCCACATGATGAGACCCCTGTCTCTACTAAAAATACAAAAATTAGCCAGGAATGGTGGCTCACACCTGCAATCCCAGCTGCTAGGGAGACTGAGGCAGGGGAATCACTTGTAACCCAGGAGACAGAGGTTGCAGTGAGCTGAGATCACGCCACTGCACTCCAGCCTGGGTGACAGAGCATGACTCCAACTCAGAAAGAAAAAAAAAAAAAAAGAAAGAAAGAACACACAACTCCTCTCCTCAATCTTACCCAGAGAGGAAAAAAAAATAGAAAACACAACTCCAAGGACCAACAATTAGTATTTTTCTTCCTTCCCTAACACACAACATAATCTCTTCAAAACAGATCGAACCCATATTCCAGTATCTACCTTTGGCGTCTTTTCCAAAGTATTTCTAGGGTGACAGCTGGGAGCAAATGGGAAAAAAAATATTTGGACGCAAGCTTTTTTCCACTGGGCTTTGAGAAAATCCCCATCTTGCGTGCTCCTAGTGTATCTCTCACTGATAAGTTCCTCATAAAACCAGGGCCTCATCCAGGGCCACGCTGACAGAACTCCCACAGACACACCATGATTAGGACCCTGCTGCTGTCTGCTTTGGTGGCTGGAGGTAAACCCTGTCACCCAGAGCCACTGGTTTCCCATCCCCTGGTGTGACTGGGAATGGGATCTTCCTGTCCTCCCCTCTCGCCCCCACCCAACCCCCACTGCATTCAGACCTATAATCATAAGAAAACTGGAATGGAGTTTCAAAGAACTGGAGCAAAGAGCAGGATTCTATGACCTCTTGGGATCCTTCTAGAACAAGGGTTTTCTATTTGGGGGTTCAGAATGCAGCAAGTGTAGTTTACATTGTGTGGGTCGCTGCTTCCTGGACTCAAGACCCTTTCTCTTTTCATAGCCCTCAGTTGTGGGGTCCCCACTTACCCGCCTTCTGTGACTAGGGTGGTTGGAGGTGAAGAAGCGACGCCCAACAGCTGGCCTTGGCAGGTGAGTCGACCACACTGTACTTCCCCCCGTCCCTACCCCAGTCCCTTTACATCTCCCCTTTGCCCTTCCACCATGGGGTCTACTGTGCTGGCAAAGTGAGGACTGATGGGACTCAAAGAGCAGCACAGGCAACTTCACCAATAAGATACATTTCCAGCTGGGTGCAGTGGCTCATGCCTGTTATCCCAGCACTCCGGGAGGCCATGGTGGGCAGATCACCTGTGGTCAGGAGTTTGAGACCAGCCTGGCCAACATGGTGAAACCGGCCTCTACTAGTAATACACAGTTAGCCAGGCATGGCGGCACACACTTGTAATCCCAGCAACTCGGGAGGCTGAGGCAGGAGAATCGCTTGAACCCAGGAGGCAGAGGTGGCAGTGAGCTGAAATTGCACCACTGTACTGCAGCCTGGGCAACAAGGCAAGACTCTGTCTCAAAAAATAAAAAAAGTTTTAAAAAGGTACATTTCTGTGGCCTTGGCCAACCTTGGGAGAGGAGGGAGAGGTGCCTCCTCCAGCTGCAGTAAGGAGCTGTCCCCTCCCCACTGCCAATAAGCAGCAATATAGTATTACTCTATTAACCAATCAGAGGCTTGTTTACAAATGTACCATTAGTCTAGGAACCATTCAAGACTACCTATGCAAATATTCCTTGCTTTAAGGAACCAATCGGTGCTATTTGTGCAGATTCATCTTTAACTACAGGCAAATCAATGCTACCAATGAAAAAACTGTTTTCTTAAGTTCATATAATCATAGTGATATCAAGACTAAACTGCCAAGTAGGGCACAGGCACCAATTACTAAGACGTGTTAATGGTGGGAATTTTAAGAGAATTGTGTAAAGGTTACATTGACACAAACAAATATAGTAAAATCTCTTTTATCTGATGTAACTGGGACTGAGTAATTGAAAAGTTGGTTATAAAGAAATTATTTTAAATCATACATATATGTTGTAAACATTTTATCTTACACTATGTAAACAATTTCTTGAGTTCTTAACTGTCTTTTTCATATAAACCACGCCACATAATATCTCATCTACAAGTCCATTTCTTTAAAGCAGAGTAGCAACTTTGAGACGTTCACAAAGCAATCTGAGTTATGAGCCCATCCCGACTTTTACGACTTTTCCCCCCAATCTTTCCATTTTCTCACAGACACTAATTCAGGAGCAATTTTTTAAGAATCATGGTGATTCAGTCTCTTCCAAGCATTTAACTTCATTTCCATATAAATAACGACTCTCCTTCTGAACTCCTCTTTCATTCGTTACATGTTTAATCAAATTTCACTATTGCAAGCATAATTGATATAAACTACTTTAGGAGCAAACCCAGCTGAATCAGGATGAGTTTCCAACTTAAGCAGGAGGAGGAATTAGCAGCCCACTAGCCTTGAGCATTCAGAGTGACCCATGCAGCAGTCACTGTGTCTACAGAGGCCAGCGTCATTCATCTGGTCCTTGATTAAGAGACTGTCAATGATAGGCCAGGCACGGTGGCTCATGCCTGTAATCCCAGCACTTTGGCAGGCCGAAGCAGGTGGA